CCTCACCGAGCTCCTCCAACAGGAAGTGTGACCTCACCGAGCTCCTCGCCGTTTTTAACCTGACTGGAGTTTCCTGTCCGTTTTTAAAGTCGTGACCTGCGACGTTTTATCTGTGAAGACCTCAATAAAAACATAAACATCAAAGAACAAATAAAATGTTGAAACAAAAACTGGACAAAATTATGTCATCAACATATTCCAGGTCCAGCAGGACCCGAGGAGACCGGCTGGAGGAGGTTCTGGAGGGAACCATGTCCCGTTCTGGTCTGATGGAGGACTCCAGCTGTTCAGCAGTCCTGGATCTTTGCTGGATTGTTTCATGAAGCACCAAATGTTTTTGATGGTTCAGAAGTCTGGACTGGATGTGGGTCTTCCTGCCCTGCTGATCGTCACCTCATCAGTGACCTCCTCCTGGTCCATCATATGGTTCTGGACTCAGGTCTGGGGGGCAGCATCCAGCTCTTCTGGGAGACTGCAAGGTGTCCCCAGACCAGATGAGAGAAGGAGCCTGTCCAGCGTGTCCAGGGTCTTCCTCGGTGTCTCCTGGGACACACCTGGAGCACCTCCTCACCTGTTGCTGACATCAACTTCAAAGTTATTTTATTTTTATTTTCAGAAACTCCTTTCATTCTTGGATAATTGACCAAGTTCTAATAAAATATTAATTTGTGACGTTTGTAAATCATTGAATTCTGTTTTCTTTACGTTTTACACACCTCAGCTTTTACACAGTTGTTGTTTATCTTGGTTGACTCGAAGGAATCCCATAAAATATTTAAATATTGTGTAAGAATAACAAATGGGAGCATTTAATTACATAATTTCTTCAGATTGTATCTTTCTTGTTATAAACATTGTGACCAGCAGGTGGCGCCGCTGAGCTTTGAGGCCGGAAATTAAACCTTTAATCACGTAAACTGGATAAAAAACTTCATTTGATGAATTTAATTTAATGTTTTATTGCTGTTCCCTCATTGAGCAACCTGCAGTCTGAGGTTCCCGGATGTCTGAAAAGCCCCGTTTTAATAAAAACTGCAAAATAAAACATCTCGGTGCTTTTATTGTGAAGGCACGAACCGGTTCTGTGAGTGCACGCGCGCGGTACCTCCCTGCAGCAGAGCGAGGAAGAGGAGGAGGAGCTGAAGGTCACAGCTGCAGGAGCATCCTCAGCCTCCTCATCAGCACCGACCGCCGGGCCGGACCGGGCCGCCGTCATGGGGAACCGGGGCATGGAGGAGCTGATCCCGCTGGTGAACCGGCTCCAGGACGCCTTCTCCTCCATCGGGCAGAACGCCGAGCTGGACCTGCCGCAGATCGCCGTGGTGGGCGGCCAGAGCGCCGGCAAGAGCTCCGTGCTGGAGAACTTCGTGGGCAAGTGAGTACCGTGTGCCGTCCGAACCGGGCCGGACATTCCGTGTGTCAGAACAGGACCGGGACCGGGCGCTGCAGGCGCTGTCACGTGATGGCGGTCCGTGTTTGATGTGCTGGTTGTGATGCTGCAGCGGCTGGTCTCAGATCAGGTGTTCTGATCACGTGATGAAGACCGTGGACCAGAAATGTCAGAGAACTGCCTACCTGTCCACACCTGAGACAAGTGTGCGCGCGCGCGTGTGCGGCGATCCTTTTATGAAATCAGGTTCCGGTCGGTGATCCTGTCAGGTAAGACTCGGGGAGGAATTCTCCGTGCTGCAGTTAGGACAGTTTGTCCTGTTGTGTAACACAGACTGGATCTCTGAGGGTTCTTCAGGGTCTGATGGTCCCAGAAGGTCTGAGGGTTCTTCAGGGTCTGATGGTCCCAGAAGGTCTGAGGGTTCTTCAGGGTCTGATGGTCCCAGTAGGTTTGAGGGTTCTTGAGGGTCGGTTCCAGCTGACTGTTCAGCCAACACTGCCAGATCTGACTCGTTCACACTCTGACTTGTTTAGACTATTTGGAGTGTTTTTTACTCTGAATGGTCTAAACTCAGATGTTCTAACCCATTCAGATGTTCCGACTCCTTCAGATGTTCCGACTCCTTCAGATGTTCCGACTCCTTCAGATGTTCCGACTCATTCACGTTCCGACTCGTTCACATGTTCTGACTCATTCACATGTTCTGACTCGTTCACATGTTCCGACTCCTTCAGATGTTCCGACTCGTTCAGATGTTCCGACTCCTTCAGGTGTTCCGACTCGTTCAGCTGTTCCGACTCGTTCACGTTCCGACTCGTTCACATGTTCTGACTCATTCACATGTTCTGACTCATTCATATGTTCTGACTCGTTCACATGTTTCGACTCCTTCAGGTGTTCCGACTCGTTCGCATGTTCCGACTCCTTCAGATGTTCCGACTCCTTCAGATGTTCTGACTCATTCACATGTTCTGACTCATTCACATGTTCTGACTCGTTCACATGTTTCGACTCGTTCAGATGTTCCGACTCGTTCATGTTCTGACTCGTTCGCATGTTCCGACTCCTTCAGATGTTCCGACTCCTTCAGATGTTCCGACTCCTTCACGTTCCGACTCGTTCACATGTTCTGACTCGTTCACATGTTCTGACTCATTCACATGTTCTGACTCGTTCACATGTTTCGACTCGTTCAGATGTTCCGACTCGTTCACGTTCTGACTCGTTCGCATGTTCCGACTCCTTCAGATGTTCCGACTCCTTCAGATGTTCCGACTCGTTCACGTTCCGACTCGTTCACATGTTTCGACTCGTTCACATGTTTCGACTCGTTCAGATGTTCCGACTCGTTCACGTTCTGACTCGTTCGCATGTTCCGACTCGTTCACATGTTCTGACTTGTTCACATGTTCCAACTCGTTCACATGTTCCAACTCGTTCACATGTTCCGACTCGTTCACATGTTCTAACTTGTTCAGATGTTCCGACTCGTTCAGATGTTCCGACTCGGTCACATGTTCCGGCTCGTTCACACGTTCCGACTCGTTCACATGTCCCGACTCGTTCACACGTTCCGACTCGTTCACACGTTCCGAATCGTTCACATGTTCCGACTCGTTCACACGTTCCGACTCGTTCACGTTCTGACTCGTTCACGTTCTGACTCGTTCACGTTCTGACTCGTTCACAATTTCCGACTCGTTCACACATTCCGACTCGTTCAGATGTTCTGACCTGTTCAGATGTTCTAACTCGTTCAGATGTTCCGACTCGTTCACGTTCTGACTCGTTCGCATGTTCCGACTCCTTCAGATGTTCCGACTCGTTCACATGTTCCGACTCGTTCACATGTTCTGGCTCGTTCACATGTTCCAACTCGTTCACATGTTACGGCTCGTTCAGATGTTCTAACTTGTTCGGATGTTCCGACTCATTTAGATGTTCCGACTCGTTCACATGTTCCGACTCGTTCACGTTCTGACTCATTCACATCTTCCGACTTGTTCAGATGTTCTGACTTGTTCACATGTTCTGACTCGTTCACATGTTCCGACTCGTTCACATGTTCTAACTTGTTCAG